AAAATTATCGACGTGAAATTTCAAGTTTTTAACAGTAGGGACACCTGCGTTTTATAGGCATCTTTATCATTCTTTTGAAGTAATCAAATATCTGATGTCACCTTCTGTCAGTTCAATTCTGTGATTTGATTTTGAAAAATTGCAAATTCAGTAGTTGTTTAGTAATATACGAAACCGCGAAGTCGAATGAAAGTTCTTTCTCGGATACGGTATTATTGACTCATTTTTCGGAACTATAGCACAACAAAAGCCATTAACAGAGTATATATATGTGATATATATCCGGGAAAAAAGTACTCACTTTTTGCCCACGGGAAAAAAGTAATTTATGAAAAGTTACATTTTATAACCTGCCAACAGAGATGAAATGCCAAACTTTTTTCCCGTCACAGAAAAAAAGGCTTTATCATCAAAACTTGTTCATCCAATTATAACAAATAACATAACAGAAATAAAAACAGATATATAATAGTATAATCATCATTTACTTTCTGTAGCCTAATCTGACAGGTGGCATATTAATGTTGAACTCCGAAAACCTGGAGGAAACAGTAAAATCATCATTTCAAAAATGAAATGCGTATTTCGACGCGTGTTTGCATAGTGCATGGCTCAAAGAAAGAGAATCATTAACCGTATTAACGCTTCGGAAGGAACAACATTTTCATTCCACACAGCTAGGCATTGTCGAAAACAAATGAAATTTAAAGATAATCGGATATTCTCTGGTTACACGAAATTCTGCGTTTGACAAAAGAGCCTGTATAAAAGTGAAGTACATGTGAAAACACGAAGGAAGGAGACAAATTATTATTGGTTTAATCATTTAAATTAAGAAACGAGTAAAAAATATACAAAGAATGGACAATAACCTACCTATACCTATTAGGGCGTTTATCGAATGAATGCGACTGTGTTTTGCAGGTTATACAAACATGGCCATGGCGTTGAAAGTCATGTGTAGCTTTGGTTCGACGTATGATTGATATCAAGGTTCTTATTAGTAAGTTTGATAAAATTAGAAGGGAAAACACCCCAGTACAACTATGTTGCAAAAATACCCCTCGCAGATTGTCTTAAAATGTGGAATGTCGCATTTCTGTGAATATGATACCACACCATTATTATATCCATGACTCAGCACACTTGATTCTTGAACATTTCACCATTGGAACACAAATGTGTTATGCACCTTCTTCAGAAGAAACAACAGCGGCAATGGCAAGTGGTGACAGACGACTGACTAGTCGAATGAGCGCAGGCGTTCAGTTGTCTCCCACCGCTGTGTCTACGTCACTGCAAGCAGAGAGTTTCTTGAACCAATATAAGGCCTGTTCGTTTGTATTGCTGAACTTGCTGAAGTTGTTTTTTCTCTGATAGTTGTCTCTGTTCTTGGCATGATGTAAACAGAGAGAGTCATAGAAGAAAATCAAGTTCAGCAGGTAGAGCAATCACGAACGAACAGTCCTCATCGGAACAGGCCTATAAAGTAAAGAAATATTCTGTTCATTTTGAGCAAATTCATATCAATCAATTTCAAGAAACGAAGCAAGCACGCCAATTGATTTGAGATAAGTGTATATTGCTCCATTCAAATTGAAAATTCTTGTACGAAGCAATTCAGTTTCGAGAAAATGGATTCGTTTAATTGAAGAAATCCTCTCTATCTATGATATTTCTTTCTCCTGACTGAATATATTCATGAAGAGATAAACTTTACTAGAACCCCTATGAATGCCAACTAAGGAAAGGGACATTGCTGCAAAATGACATTGCATGAAATTATTCTCGCACGGCACAGCATCGGTATGAATCTCTTCAAAAAGTCATAAGCTCATAGTCCACCAACACGAATATACGCGATATAAATGCAAAGTGATGATACGTTCTATGTTTGCGCCATAAAAATCCCCGGAATTGTCCATAAAAATGTTTAATCAATGTATCGTATCGCATTCACTTCACCGACAGATTATGCTGCTTTAACGAGGACTCCAGGACTGTACTTAATCCTCTATCCTATTGTGTGCAAGACTTCAATGGCCGCCATCATATAAGTCTGAAATAATCTTCAGAGGGATGCCGTTGAGACATCATCTAGATTATGGAACTTGAAATGAAATAGATTCACATAATATCAGGTGCGGTGTATAAAGAAATATGCTTGCTTCGACTTAAGGAAACAAGAATAATAGCACAACAATTTATCCCTAAGACTAATTGAGGTAACTTTCGTTGCATTATATTTTTCCCCGAATGGTACAAAAGAAAATAAAAATGATGATTATGGATGCCTTACATGCTTAACAATAATAAAGAAATATCTCACGTGCTTGTTGGTTGGTTGACAGAAAGTTTGGAATTCAAATGGAGAGAGGTGGTTTCAGTTGTCCATTATGACACTATATCCTCAAATCGTGATGTCTTAGGTTAGATTCAGAATAGCGCCTTTGGGCTATCTGCCTTCACACTGCGACCTTATCAGATCTATTCTGTCTGCCCTCAAAATCGTTTAGACTTCTTTGGCTAGCCCCGCCTTCTTTATGAGACTCCATAGACAAGCTTTCAGGTCCCCTATGTATCTTAGGGCTCTTGGTTTTTCCTCTTCCAGCGTAAGGAACCTTAGTCATGACAAGTCTACACAGTGGAAAAGTATGTGTACTGCTGTTTCCTCCTTTTCCTGACAGAACGTGCATATCAGTTCTTCCGCCAGACCTATATGTTATTCATGTGTTTGGTGAGCCTACAATACCCTGTGCGAAGTCCCACTAGTAATCTAGTTGAACTTCGTTTCTGGCTCAGTATATATTTTGTGAATGTTGGCGATGATTTTATAAACAACTCCTTTTCCTGTCCCATTCCTGCAACTTGTTTCATCAAACGGAGTATGCTTCTGTCCTAGGTTGTCCATACTATATAGTGTTCATATAAATAGCCTTGAACGAATCAATAGACGTGAAATATCTATCATTCAAGGAAGATAGTGCCTACCCTGTTGTTCGAATATCTAATAATACATTATAAGAGTGAAATAACTTCAATTCTCTTGAAAATAGGAAGAATATATCTGCTCTGATATTTTTTTAATAAGTTAATCCATGGCCAAATCAGCTGCGAAGCTCTGTTGAGCATGCTCAGTTTTTATAGGCAAAATAATCTATTTTACCTCGGAAGTACTTTTAAAAAAATTTACAAAAAACTGACCTTTATACAGAATTGGCAACAATTACAATAACATCAATGAGAGATGTGGCATTTTCTCTTGCAGCATTGCTTCGTTGAAAGAACTCAGTTTTTGAAATTACTTTTTACTGCTATTTTGTACCATTTCTTCTTTCATATCTTTTTATTTGTATTCACTAGATTAGTCTATATATTTTTTTTGTACCTATCATTCTCCCATATAAGGAATATATTGATATTAGATTTTTTTATCACTTGGAGCGCACGAAAGGATATTCCTATGATCTTCGAAGATCATCCTGCAAACCTAGGGATGATTGAGAGAGGAGGTGGGTTTTGGATTTTTTTGTACTACTGGAGGTTATTCATTCATGTACTATGTTTCACAAACATTTCATAGCATCTCATTCGAATCAAAAGATTAATGGAGGTATGTTTAGGAAGTAAATGCAAACTGAGTCGCAATTTTTGATACATTTACAAACCCATACAAACTCGCGAAGTTTTTGTGATGTTTTTGTGGCGCTTATTTTGTGACGTTGTTTGTCAAGGCATCAGAAACGACACCAAAACGGCACAAATATATCACTGGTTGGTCACGGCATGAAAACTGGTACTCAGTTTGCGGTTGATCGATTCTGGGCTTGTGGTTAGCTTGCTCGCTATTCAAGACCTTGAGATTTCTGATGAAGACTTTCACGAAGAAAGTAGCCAAAATGGTCCAGTTCTCTTGTGGCTCATTTACTGTCGAACGATTCATTTTTCATGGAATTGTTGATCAAATCAGAGACAAACAATCCTCAGATGACGTCAGTTGTGTGGAAAACCAGAAGTAAACTCTAATTCAGAAGTAAACTCTAATTCAGAGCTTAGCTGCTTACAAGTTCCGTAGGAAAGTCGATGATACTTCTCTCTACTATAGATTCTACCATGGGCAATGTTCTTCGGAAATCATTCCATCACAAGATCATTTAGCTCACTTCCTTCGTCATCATCATTAAAATTTATCTGACGAATTCCTACAAAAATTTGTATGGTCTGTCTATAGACAAAGACAGTCAAAACGAACCTTCTCTTTCATTTCATGCCAGGTATATGTTTCATGAGTAAATAAGCTACAAGACAATGGGACCGTTTCGGCCACTCTTTCCATGTAAATCTCCTTCAGAAAAGTCAGAGTAAAAAATAGCGTAAAACGTCGTCGACGCAAACTGAGTGGCCATTTTCGATGCATATACAAACCATTGACACACTCGCGACGTTTTGGTGATGTTTTTGTGACGCTCTTGTGACGCTTTTGTGACGCTTTTGTGACGTTTTTTGACGAGGCATCAGAAACGACACCAAAACGGCACAAATATATCACTGGTTTGTCAAAGCATCAAAACTAGTACTCAGTTTGCGGTTGATCGATTCTTGGCTTGTGGTTAGCTTGTTTTCATGAAGAAATTAGCCGAAATGGTCCAGTTCTTTTGTCGCTCATTTATTGTCGTACGATTCATCTTTCATGGAATTGTTAATCAAATTAGAGACAAACAAACCTCAGATGACGTCAGTTGTGAGGACAACCAGGAGTAAACGCTAATAATAAATCTATACCTATCTGATCAAGGTGGCAACTTGGGAGGACTTTCTAACGAATCCGTACATCAGAATATCAAACTGATTACCCCCCTGGGTTGGTAATTTTAAGCTACGGCCCCCGTAAGATCCGTTCCAGACCTAATAAAGAAAATCTAAAGCTGTGCAAATCGCGCACAATAAGAAATAAAATTTTATTAAGCCATTCGGAGTCCATTAAAAGTGTTTACAATTGGAGTAACGGCGGATTAACCGGGTACGGCACATTTGCCATACGAAATCCGGAGAAAGAGAAGATAACAGAGACTGATAGACGCGAGAGACGAGAGAGAGAGAGGGAGATAAGAGAAGATGTCGAAGTTACCAATGAACGTGATATTCTTTGCCGCCGTCTTGGTCTGCTTCTTCGGAAGGGGTAAGTTTTTTCAAGTATACTTTATACCTACTATTGAATTATGAAAATATACAATGCACTGAGAGAAGATTTTCTCGCCAAGTATATCAAATTCGCACACAATCAAGTAACTTTGAGTTTTTTAGAATTGACACAGTTCATTCCTCAAACCATCTGGAATTATTATCAGTCCCTTTCTTTTTAACTACTGTATTTTTATTTTCCCGAGATAGAAACTATAAAAAGACATCTCTATTATTTTGGCCTGATCACTCCATATATTCTGCGAGAGAGAATGATGAATAAATCACGAATATATCTACTCAATTTATTGAGTCATCAGGGCGAATACAATAGGAATTGGAATGTGTACATTGACAAAGATATTGAAGAATGATCGAATGGTGCTGAAGGTGAAGTTTTTACAATGTCTAAGAATAAATCCTAATGTTCTATTACATTTTGATACAACATAGTTGATATAAGTAGTTGAGAACGAGAGTTTTTTGTCTAGTACAACACCTAGGTCTATTATTCAATTAACCTCCTTAGGACACTATTATCAAAGTGTTAATCGTATGAAAATATCTTGTTTTCGAGTGGAAATAATAAAGCAACATTCATCTGAGTTCGAAAGGAGTTTTATTTGGCAGGACTCGAAAATCTGTTCAAATCAATTTGGATAAGGGAACACAATTTACTTAGAGAATATTTTGAAAACGTCAACGTATAGTATGTATTCACAGAATTGAAAGCAAGAATTATTATTGTTAGAATATATAATGAAAAGAAGAGGCCCTAAATGTGAGCTCTGGGGTACTTCCGATGAGGTTACAATTAATGGGGTCGATTGTAACGATATGAGGCGAACCAGCGATGAAGGTCCAAGTGCACACAGCCCTCAGTTGATTTAGAAATCAATATGTTGTGGTTTATTTTATCGAATTCTTCACTGAAATCGACAAATATTCTGTATATATGACAAAATTTTTCTTTTGTTATCTCTTTTATGGAAATCATAAGTATATCGTGAATTATAAGCTCGTGAACTTTACTTAGAATGTTCAATTTGCAGATTGGACGGTAGTTGTTTCAATCATCATTTTTGAAAATAGGTACTACATAAGCAACTTCCCAACTTTCTGGAAACGTGCATGCCTATGAATATACACAGGAAAACAAATTATTTGAACTACAGAACTTTTGTGAATTGAACAAAATCTGAGTGTCATATATCCACGACAAAATATTTTGTCACCGCAACAAATCTTTTTTGTTAGTTTTCAATTAAAATTTATTTGATGTAACTCATCAATGATTCAAATTAACAGCAGGAATTGGTTGAATAAACAAAGACTATAATACAATATTTGCTCTTATGAACAGATTCTGTTGATTGAAATGATTATATCATTCCATTCAAGTGACAAAATTTCCAGTTTTTCAGAGATTGAATATGTTAAAATAACAATATATATTCTTAGATTGTATTTAGAATCGACAAAATATTTTGCTGAATAATATTCAAAAAATCCAATAACCGAATTTTAAAACTAAAAGGGAGCTTGTGTAAGCGTCGTAAGATATTTTAGGATAGCTTGATATAATCATATAAACGGATCTTCTAGGTAGGTATATGTACACCCCAATCGAGGCGAGCGTAGGAAGGTTGGAAAAAACGCCACCTGGTGGCAAAAATGCAACTAGATAATCATTCAACAAAATATTTGTCTTATATAATGTTTCTATTGGTTTTGTTCAACAAAATAATTTGTTTGAAATCACAACATATTTCTTGATAGTGATGTTTTGAATCAACAAAATATAATGTTGTCATAATCATTCAATTTTATCGAATAGAAAAAAAACTTTTGATTGGTTGCACAAGGGAATGATTGTTGACTAAACAAAATATGATGTTGTATTTAGTTGAATCTTTGTCGAAATTAATTTCATTTTGTCGAATTGACAAGATGCATATGATTGATTGAACAATGAGATAATAGTTGGATCAACGAAATTTGTTTTATGATATGTTTAGGTTACTTTTTGGAATGATCATATATTTTGTTAATTTCGCAAAATTGTATTTAATTTAACGAAAAAAAATAACCAAAGTTATTTTGTTGGTGCTACAAAACTTTTTTTTGTGTATGAATATAACCTCTCAATCACTCCACTCAAAGTTTCAATGGACTTTTACCAACATTTGAAATAATCATTTCCCACGATCAGATAATTTGGAATTTCTCTTCAGACGTTGGCTTATAATTCTTTCTGCAATGATTCCTAAACGCTCGACCAATTCCATTACGTCAACCACCCCTCCCGAGCTAATAACTTCGTGTCCACTCATCCATTACACTTTCTTATCCTGTGTGTTTCCATTCCTTTTCTTCCGGATAATAAATTCCTCAGGATTTTCATCAGGATCCCGATATTCCCGATCCAAATTTGTTCGTTTTTAGCGGCAAATTTAATCTGTCATGGTTTTGGATCCGGTCACTTCAACGCCCAGTCGATATAAGATAAATGTGGCGCGTTTGTGGTCGTAATCAACTCATTTCCCGATGGCAGCCGGCAAAAATTGAACGCTTTTTTTCCAGTTATTTTTGCACTTCGGCAATGGGGCGATATACAAATTGTGGACGATAAATTTCCCGGTACAGAATCGAGTTTTAATTGCTCTTTTCCGCTAGTAATTATTTGTTGCTAACTGCTCCGCGTCGAACAATGAAAAGTGTTTCTAAAATGGCGATTGGTTTTTTGCTGCAAGAATAGAAGCCGCTCTGTGCATATGTTGAAATGCTGCTATTCATGCAGAGATCGAGAACAAAAGAGTGATGTGTGTGTTTGTGATTGGTTGAAAAGTCATTTTTTGAATTGTATTATTTCATTTACCGCAGTGCTTCATTCACAGAGTCGAAATGAAATATCGAATCAACTGTGAATAATTTTTTGATGAAAATATTAATTGACTTCAAAAATGATTGTATCTATTGCAATTGTTCTTTCTCTTCCTGTTCTTCAAATCCTATTCAAATGGATACATAATTCAATAGCTTCTATATGCGATACGCAACTATTATTTCGCTAAGGTTGGTAACATGTTGAAATAGTAATAACACATTCTCCACTTGCTTTTTTCCATAGCCACCTACTAATTAGGTCCACAGCTTTCATATATAATCAACTAGCAGTCTGGCTTGGCTTCACACGAATGGTGTAACCATTAAAAAAAATGATCCATTTGTTGCGGTCAACCTGAGCTATGTGCGTATCTACAGTACATATTTTTTTGTGATTTTTTGAATTTTTGTGCTTACCTAGAGCTACTATTGTACAGGGTGTATCTGAATAACACCGGAGGAATTCAAGTGGTGATTCCTTGTGATGTTTGATGAAATAAAGTCCATATAAATATGTGTCCTAACTGGTTTCGTTTTTGAGATACAGGGTATTAATTATCTCCATGAAAAATTGTTTTTTTATTCATTACTAAGTTGTCTTTCCATCGATATTGATAAAACTTTGTGGTTTTGTCAATAGTAATATGAGGATTCTCCTGGTGTGATTAGAATCGGAATAATATTTCCAGTGGCGCCACAGTGGGTAAATATGTCGATATTTATGGTGAATGTCATTGTACGCCAACGGTTTTTCTGAGTTCCATATTTTAATTAGTTTTTTCTACTTTTCTATTCTATGTGTAATTTTTGTATCTAGCTTAATTTTAGAGGAAACAATAAAAATTCGATTCGACTCTCATTGGGAATAGAATAGAATAGAATAGAATAGAATAGAATAGAATAGAATAGAATAGAATAGAATAGAATAGAATAGAATAGAATAGAAATTTCATCATTGAAAATTCTACATCTGTATTACATACAATTATGAAATTTTATCAGACTAGTCAAGAACAGGAATAAAAACATTTGAACAGACACAAACATTTTAAAATAGAAGTTGAAGGATTACAGTTTTATAATATTGAATACTCATTTAGATTGTAAAAATTCCTCAACAGAGTAGAATGCATTTTGGACTAGATGATTGTATAGAGCTGATTCGAAACTTCCTAAGCTACATGCGTTTCCAAATAGTTTGAGTGCATGGTTATAGCAAATGATACCTTGATAACTCGCAGAGTCCTGTCCCAGAGCCAAACGAGAATAAGGTAGTCTTAGTTCATTACCTCTTCTAGTATTGTAAATGTGAATCATATTATTTTGGTATGGTGTGTTTCATTTTTTGTGATGTTCATTGTAATCGTATAAATGTAGAGGCTGGGTAAACTCAGTATAGCCAGTTGGATGAATGTACTCTTACATGGTTCTTTGTAATGTAGACCAGCTAGACATCTTATCACTTTTTTTTTGAATTTTAAAATTCATGGGATTACTCAATAACCCCATATTTTTTTATCGCTTGAAGCGCACGAAAGGGAATCCTTTTAATGTTCAAAGAACATCATGCGTTCCTAGGAAGGATAGGGACAGGAGGTAGAGGTATTGGAATTTTTCTTGAACTTCTAGAGATTATATTATGTTGTTGGGAATACTTCCTCAGGCAAAGAATTCCAGAGCCTAACCGTTTTATGGATGAAGGAGTTTTAATAAAGTAATGATCGACATCTTTCGAGGTCGACATCGAAAGGATGTACTGACTGGGCTTGTCTAGTTCGTCTGACTGGTATTGCTAGTGAAGGGATGATAGCAGAGATTTCCGAAGAACATTCCCCGTGGAAGTATCGATAGCAAAGTGAAAGGTCGCATACCTTTCTACGGTGTTCCAATGATTTCAAAGAGTGAGTGAGTGTGGCGTCACCCACCAGGCGAATGACTCTTCTCTGGATAGAATCTAAGAGCATCAGCGTATGTTTTGGTGCTGAACCCCATATGTGGGAACAGTATTCTAGAACAGGCCGTATCTGCGCTTTGTAGATCATGAGAAGCTGTTGAGGTGTGAAGTAGATTTTCGCACTGAACAAGAATCCGAGTTTTTGTGAAGCAGCTTTT